TGAAAATGAAACGATAACATACGTTGACATAATAGAGACATAACATTTATTTAAGACGAATGTTTCGGACACTCTTGTGTCCTTCTTATACACCTTGAGCCGCCGTGCCTAAAACTGTTTAGTTTGTATGCATGTGAAAAGGAACTCTAGGAACATTGCATCAATGGCGTATCTAGGGGACGTGGGGGCACACGCCTCTCTAAAAATACTTAACCCCGTCACCCCCACCCAAAAAAAAAAAAAAAAGCACGCTCATGAGTAAAAATACATTATATTGCGAGTTAGGGCACCTCACCTAATCATGGTGCTCCTACGTGACCTTTGTGCTCCCACATCAACCCCCTCCTCTACACCATTTCAAGACTCCTATATATTCCATTGCATTACATAGGACTAGACTAGGCTTAGGTTCTTCACCATTTAATGCACTGTATTTATATTCTTTTCAGCTTGCACGGTGCTAGTGTCTCTGGGAGAGCAGTTGGCTCAACTTCACAATGATACGGTTGTAGATTCACTCTTTAAACTCTGCGACTTGCTTCCCAGTAAGTAGACCTGAAGTAACTAATATAATAAAGTATTATGTTGCAAATAATCTCAATTGTGACAAGACTTATAAACTTGTCAACTTGTCCCTTACATAATTGGTGTGACATTTTAGGCTTAAACTTACAAGGTCTCATGAGTCTTAGAAAGTGAATTTATTTTTAGTCGTAAGTTAAAAAATCGGCTCTGAACTCACTTCCCCACAAGGTAGAGATTATATAAAGGTTAAAGGTTATACATTTGTACCGCGCAAAATACTAGGGTCTCAATGCGCTAAAAAGGTAGCTTCAATAAATGAAACATATAATAATATCATAAGAAAAATGTTTATATTTTCAGGTACTTATGACATTCCATGCCGGTTCGTTGTTGCTTTAGCCGCACCAACTTTAATCAAAGTGTAAGATTATTATTTAGGCCTATTATCATGAGAATTTAATTTAAACATATTAACATTATTATTAATCATCATCATCATCATTTTCAATTTGTATTAATAACTATAATAAGAATGATGAAGAAGAAGTTATCATGATGAAGATGATGATGATGATGATAATTGATGACGATAAAGATGATGACGGCAACGATGACGTCAACACTGATGATGATGATGATGATAATTACGATGATGATCGGTTTGGTGTTCTCACTTCGTGAAAACCAGCTCCCTTGATAGAATGCTGTGGTTAATGATTAGTTCCTTTGGCTGAAGTTTAAAAGTCAACATATATTAATGTAATTTTATTAATAATATTTTATGTTACGCTATATTGTTAGGACTGTTTATATATTATACAGGAGCGACCATTAAATCTCATTATAGTAACATCCTATAAACAATGCCGTAGCCAGGATTTTCAAACAGTGCGTGACAATGTCAGGGTGGACCCACTCTACGCGTAAATTCAAATAATGTGGACCCATTTCCATAAAAGTTAACCCATTTTACGCAAAAAATATGAAAAGTCTAGACTCATTTCCTAAACTTTTAACCCATTTTAGGCTGAATATGAGAAATCTGGACACAAAAAGTGGGCTCATTTTATGCATAAAATTGCTGAATTTGGACCCATTTTTCAAATGTGGACCCATCATTTGTGGACCCATTAGAAAAATTGTGTGGGACTTTCCAAACTGTCCCAATAGCTGGCTACGGCATTGCCTAAAAGACGATCGTGGTTGACTCAATGCGATAGTTTTAAACTGGGTACTCACTGCATCGTACGACAGTCGGCCGGCGACGACAATTACTGTGTTCTTTTCAGTTCAGCAGCCGATTCAAAAGAGGGGTGGAAATAGCCGGCTCGGTCCACCTAAATTTACAGAATTATTAAAATATGGGGAAAAAAGAAAATCATATTCAAATTTAAGTCAGAGAGTGCGATTTCCGTCCATCTATAGGTGCCATAATATACATTTTCTTCCCTCTGCTTCAACTGTGGTGTGGCTGGGGTGGTCTAAAACCTCAATCTGTGAAAGCTCTTTCCTGGACACCTCTATTTCGAATTCGTGGTTATGAAGTTACGCAGATTCTGATTATCATAGTAATTATTACTAGCCAAGGCCACTGGGGGGGGAACTAAAGAGAAGAACTTCTTGCAACGAATTTTCTGAAAACTTGAATCAATATACCTAGTCCTAGATTTTTCATTGCTATAAAAATTGTATTTAATGCACCAGACACACGAATACACAAGCTCTTCATTTTGCTAGCTGGAATGTGTGTACAATGTGCACGAGATTTTCAAAGAAAATGCTCTTCCAGCAATTTCGTATCCCCTCCTTACGGAAAGTTGAATTTGAACTTCTTACTTGACGCAACGTACAAGATCGACACGGTTCCACTTTCCGCCTTGCAAACGCAATAATTTTCACAAAAAGCTTTCAAATACCGTTATGAAATTATCATTTATCGTAGGGCAACCAATGTATTGTAGGGTAGGGGCTTGGTTGTGTTCTGGATATTACTTTTCGCAGGCCTGGGTTAGCCCTATGCAAATAGTGCTTTAAATTTAATTGATTTTTGCTTTTCAGCAATAAGTGTAATTATAGGCCTCCCCTAAATTATATATAGATTAGGCCAGGTCCGATTAATAAATATATAGTTTACACTTATTTAATTATTATATACAAACATTATCTAAATACTGTGCCTAGGTCTCATTTTACAAGGTAATGTTTTAGTTTATTAATTTGGCATATCACATTAAATATTTTTCTTTAATTTAGCATTCGTTGCTTAATGTTTAATTACAAATTGTATGACATTTTCATGTTTGAAAATCTAGGATTTAAATTTTGTTTATGCAGATCTGTATAACAAGTAGGCATAATTTATTTCCATAATATGATTAAATACTGTACATCAAAACAACCAAAGTAAAAAGATAAAATTATAGTCAAACATAGTGCTAGATTTAAAAAATATTTAAATCAATGTAATACGGTATCAGGGGTGGCGTCAAGATTTATACTACGGGGGTGGTGGTGGGGGTGGGGGTGTCCAATGTCTCTGGCTTGTGGCCGATCCTAGACTAAAAGAAAGTGTTGTTCCAGGAGCGAAATGAAAATTAAGGGGATTCAAATGCTTATTTAATCGATTTTAGAGTCTACTAATAGGTATATATATATGTTGAAAATACATCTTTTTCCCTTGCGTTGCGTCGCTTGCGTTGCGTCTGCGTCATGCGTACGTCGTTGCGTTGCGTCCTAGTGGGAATCAAGCTTTATTGAATACGATGCGTTGCGCGTGCTTCATGAAGTTGCGTTCGTCATAGAATCGCGTCAGCCGACGACCGTCGGGGGCAGTGGATGCCCGGCTTTAGCTTGAAATATAATAAAAATACACTTTAGGCAGCGTTAGTTTGAAATAACCAACTAAAATGCCATTTTTAGATTTGAAGAAGACGTTAACGCTGATTTAGCGTGTCATGCTATCGGAATCTGTAGGACGGATCCGGGTCAGAAAGAGTGCCGCATCTTCCAGAAGACATCCACCATACGGAGAAAACTAGATCATATAAATCCCATTTGGAAAGAGGAGATCGATAAACTTACGGTACAAAGAAAACAATATTATGGAGCTTTCGATTGCACGACGACGGTAGGACGTAGAACGTAATGACGTCACTAAAACTCATCTGCGCATGCGAGAAAGTTAAGGTCACGTACGTTGTCGAGTAGATTCTTGAACGCAAATTGGCCAAATCTACGTATGCAGAGAATGATGACGCCAGGTAGGACGGTCATGCATGAGTGATTCCGTTCTAGAGTCGCGTCGTCGCACAAATCGAAAGCTCCCTAGTATGATAGTGCACCCTTTAATTCGAGACCCCACTAATGAGAGATCACATTTTTTTTTCAAAGAACCAAATAACAATCTCCAGTCGGGGACCAAACCACGCGAGACCATCCTAAATCTCAAAGTTGAGGACAAACTGCTATTTGTTCTATAATATAAGTTAATTAAATAGCACTTCTAGGAATATTGGCATGGGGTGGAGAATGATGAGGGGGTACGAATAAAGCGGAGGAACGATAAGTAAGTGAGTGGGAGCTATAGCTAGCAAAATAAAATTGAGCGTATTTTGTTTTTTCTCAGCAAATTTTCAGTGGGGCCCTTGTGGAAAGAAGCTATTATTTTTTGGATAAAGTGGGGGACACCCACCACACTTACCCCGCCCTGCACTCTAAATCGACACGCTAAATAGTCATGTTATTGTGTGGTCTCTTTATTAAACGATTGCAGGTCGAGAAAATACGAAACAATATATGTGATTCCCTTCCTGTTTTGAAAGCATTGTGCAGAGAAATATATACGTATGTATCCTATTTTATTCGTGTGCATTCATAATTATATTTACTCACGTTAAGTTCCTTAAGATCTACCCTCACTTTACAATTTTATGTGACGAATAAATGTGAAATGCATGCCCATATATGGGCACATCACACAAATAAGTCAGAAGAAGTTCATTCATAATTTCATAAAATTTTGTTTCGTTCAGGAAGCTAGATGATTACCTTCCAGTGCTGGACCTGGACAATGATAAATTTAGTGAAATTAAGGTAAACCGCATTGAGAATGCAAGTGTAACATTTCGTTCGTTGTATAAATAAGGACAGCTAATGGAAAACAAGATAGTATAAATATGGTAGAGCTGTTCATTCAGTCCAAGCACTATAGCAAGTGAAGTCATATCTTCAAACCATTTAGTCATCATAGGATATGTAATAGTGCATTACTCAGTAGCCAATCCAGTGGGGGGGGGGGGGGCATGAGGGCCCGTGCCCCCCCCCCTTTCAGTCAAGCCGAAAAATAAGAAAGAGGGAGAAAAATTTTAAAGAGAGGAAAGAGGAAATAAAGGAGTGCACCCATGAGTTAGTGGTGATCCAGCAGTGGGTGAAAGGAGAGCTCGATTATTTTCCACTTATTTACACCAGACATGGCGGGGCTGAGGTCGGCGTGGTGACGTGAACTTCATTTGTGCCACCCACCAACCCCGTCAGAAATTCTCTGGATCCGCTCCTGGTAGCTTTGGTATGTAGGATGTACTAAATATTGAGGTTATATTATTGTGGTTCGGATAGCTTGCCATGGTAATCGAATAGGAACCCAACCTACAGTATATTTTTAAATTTTGTACAGCGCCGATGAACATTTTTAATGGATATTGTTTTGCGCTTTATTAAATGAAGTTATTATTATTATTATTATTATTATTATTATTATTATTATTATTATTATTATTATTATTACTATTATCAACTTTATAGATTCAATCACTAGATTAATAAAGTACTAATAAATACTAAATATGGATTACACGAGAGATACTGCTGCTGGGCTAAATCTCTGAAGAAGATTGAGCTTGCCGGTGCCTTGTCTCATAAACTACACATATTTCAAATGAGAGGAAGTTTAAATTCAAACGGCTCTTGATAAGTTGGCAAAATTGATTATGTACTCATATTGAGAAGGTGGCGAGGTCGTCGTTTGAGATGTATCCAAACCTTTTCTCTGTGGTGACGCCACTATTTATTCGAGGAAGGGGGCTCCAATGGGAGAGGGGGAATTGTGAAGAGAGCGTCATTTATACTCATGGCTTGCGGACCTCTTCGGGGCCCTCCAGCATTGCAATTGTCCAGGAACAATATCAAATTAGGCGTCAATAAAGCCAGAATCCCCCAATCCCTAAAAAAAAATCCTGTTTGTTAGGTTTTAGGGCATGCCCTGAAAAGTTTTTGCCCTTGCCAGAAATAATTCTCTGTCCCTCTGTAGGCCTACTAATTAAAAGTCTTGAGCAGACTTTTATGTTTGCTTCCTAGAGTATCAAAGCTAAATATAGTAATTCTTCGTTTTGGATATTCGTCTCGCTTCTTGAGCATGTGCATTTCTGGTATACGTACGAATTATTACGCTATACATTCCGTATTCGGACCGAAACTGTTTTTACGGACCCAACTTGCCACCACCCCACACCCACCTCCATCTATAAATAGATGCCATTTGTTTACAACAGATAATTCATCCTCTGTCTAGACACTGCGTGGGTCATATTGGCGGGGGAGAGATTGCAACGACGGACAGGCCGACTTCTACCCTGGGCGAAGGTGAGTATGCAATCATATCTGGGGGGAAGGAAGAAAACACCCACCTCCCCTTCTATAAAGCTCTGTCCAGACTATCAAATATTATTTTACCAAAAAACACATGACATGACAAAAGGTCATGATGACATCACAGCAAAAACACGGCTATACAAGGAAGTTCTTTTTGACTTTTTCACATCATGTTCCTCTTCTCTACAATAATGCATTAAGCATACTGAAAAGGTACACTGCTTACTTTTCTAAAAAAAATATAAATCACATTTTGTATTTCTTTTTATAATCATTTCTAAACAATAATTGATAGTACTGTACAGATACATTATATACAACTATTCTAAAAGTTAATTATGCAAGGAATTTATATTTTATTTTATAATCAATATTTGTATCTTAAAAACAAATCAAAAGAAAATAATAAATAAGCATTAATGCCTTAATATATTAGTAATATTAACAATACGTCTTTTTGAAAATGAAAGACTTTTTTGGCTGTTATTGTTATATGTTTAAATTGTATTTCGTAAGCACCAATCGAAAACAAGCGAGTGCCAACAGTCGAACGAATAAGTGGACGTCAACAGCACTCGGAATCATTATAGACCTTTGCTTCATTAAGACGTTTATACATGTGCACTACTACGGTTTATGTGTTCGTTCACGATCTTCAATAATATTACAGTGTGTTTAGCGACAGGATACGCTAAATGCGTGAATTTCTATATTTAGAAACTTTACACTTTCTGCCTGTTTTTAACTAAAGTTAGAAACATTTACCAATGCGTTTTGATAAGTTTACATAGGCCTACGTTCAAATATACAAATTCAGCTAGTTTGAATAGTTTTACAGAAACCAAATTTATCGAGTTGTATGGAAACACTGTTTTGATATACATGTTGCCTATTATTGCTAATTTAAACTGCGGCCCCCCCCCCCGGCCAATGCGAGTAACTTTCACGATGGTATTTAGGTTTAAACGTTATTGATTTGCTATAATTATACCATTGTGCCATATTCCAAGCTTTTAACATAAAACATTAATTAAGTTGCTTTCCGCGGTCGCTTCAAAGAGTATGCTCTCAATGACAAGGAACGTGAAATAGATTTTTCTCCGTCTTGTTTCTTTAGACCTTTGGATGAAGATATAGTTGAAGATTCGAATTGTAATGGCATAATGGTAAGTAATTTTTAAATTTATAAAATTACTTGAATTATTTAAATAATAAAATATTTATAAAATTATTAAATGTAATACCATGGAACAGTGAAATTACATGGAAACCTCTCGAACCGAACATCAAAGGTTATAACCCGCGGTACCGCCGTTCTTATCATAATCAACTGATGAACAATTTGCAACTAATTACAACTGCTTTGCGCAACCTCGCTATCGTGTTCTCGTTATGATCGACGTCGTGTCATACCATGATTTCCAGGAAACAGTTAAATTACACCACCTAAGTTTTCACTGTTCCCTGGTAATACGCGATGGTTGCATTTAATTTTTATTGGCTACTTTTATTTAGGGTGTTGATCCGAAATCGGGAAAATCTTACGAGGAATTATTCTGTAAAGGCAGTCGATCAATGGGATTGGCTATACTTGGTGATTCAGCTACGGCACACTTTCATATTCCTGTGAATTGGTTTACTCCCGCTGAAATTAACAAGGTAGCTTTATATTATTTTGCGTCTAGATAACAAACATTTCGCGGGGCCATGCCCCGGACTCCCTTATAGGGTTGTGTCATCTCGATCGGCCTCACCGCCCACTTTCGCATCCACCACCCTTTCGGACATCTCTGGATCCGTCCCTGATATAGCAGTAAGGGCATATTCAATATTCATTGGATATTTCTTTACAAATATACCTCTTTCAAAATATCTCTTCCTTATTCAGGATATTTTCAAAGAGATGCCTATGGTGATTGAAAACGAATTTGATTGGCCACAAGTTTCATGCTCGACAGGTGAGGGCAGCATTAATTTTGTAATGAAATAAAAAGGCAAAACCTTTTTAGCACACTTACAATTTCATTTCATTTCATCTCTTATTTTGGAAAATAAATACAGAATGTTGAGGTATCTATGGCTCAAAATTAATTAATTAAAATTGTGGTGGATATTAACAGTTATCAAAAACTAACTACCATTAGCGCACTGAAATGAATTAAAAGAATATAGTCGAGCTCAAATGCTCGAGACCCTGACCAGGTTTCTGGATCCCGGTTGGGGTCTCGTGTTCCACTGGCCTCCGCTGAAAATTATAGACATAATTCAAGTAATAATGAACCATTTAGGAAACCATGATGTGATGCTTAAGGAACACACGTATATCATAATTAATGATGATGACGTTTATAAAAATGATGATTATACTCTGTCTCTTATACACATCTTATCATCTACTGATTGCGGAATGGTCAGGATCGTATGATTATTTACACAAAACATATACAACCATGTCGAGGAATGCTGCTGGGAAACTCTACCATACACCGAGAACTATTGTGGATGAGCAGAGGGCACAATGATAACTCCTAAGGAAGGATAAGCCAAGCAAACTAATTTTGAAAAATACAGTAAATACGATTTCAGTAATAGAAGACATTATAGGAATAATGCTGCACATTTAATGCAATTGTTTTAGCCTGCATAATTATGATCATCGCCTTTTTTTTTATAGTACTTAGATCAGTGTCAGGGGTAAGTTATGAATTATTATTCACCACAATTGTAGCTGTGTTGTCTATTGTATATTTTTATTCCAAATAAAATTCAGGATTTAGCATATTACAATATTAATTATAACTATGTGCTATATCAATTATAACACATTAATTTATCAATAACCATGGTAATTAATTTGAGCTTCCTGATGTGTTTCAGGTTTCATGAACACTTCCACTTGGAAAACAATTGAGTAAGTAGGCCTACTATTCTGAAAATGTTTTTATCACACTAACAATAAAGACTTACAATTCTATCGTGAAGTAGGCCACCATTGCCGCCACCTCTCCCGAAGCAAACAACTTTCTACCGAAGGTATTTTTAAGGTTTTTTTGCCAGTTTTACCAGTTGAATGAATAGGCCTAATTATAGTTACCGGATAAATCAAAATTCATAAGTACAATTTTGAATTCTATTATCGTAATATTGCTCTGTTTATTTGAGCCTATTTTGTCCATGAATTGTATTACAAGAAGGTAGCCAAAATATTGCTACGCCCACTCTGTTTATTTGACGTTATTTTCCTTTCTTTCATGGCAATTTAATTATTTTACTACATCACACCACCTTCAGCAATATCTTAAAATACATGTTAGACCAATGATGATTATAAGATGATTTTTTAGATAAATCAGATATGTTTGGCCTATTTGATCGAGAAACAAAATACGTTTTATAGAAAAATACTAATAATTATTATCTGCTGAAATTTTTTCAGGGGACCTACTGACTCGTTATATCTACGTTTGCGTCAACGAAATCTATGCAACCACAGAGATTACCAGAATATTGGTGTTAATGGTAAATATAATCAAATACTTGTATAGAACTACAAAATATTGAATAATCTCAATAAAATTATCAGTGATGTTGTGTTAAAATCATGCAAGGAAAACATTGTATTCACCAAATAATATAAATTAATTCATAATATCTTATTGTTGTCATAGGTGCTAAAAGCGTTTCGATGAACAGGACAGTTCAATATAGGTAGGCCTAGCTGAATTCACATCTGATCCGAACCGAAATTCGGACCGCGTTTACGATGCACTGAACACCAGCATCCCTATTTTTAGGCTGCACCAAATCCGAATGTTAGGATCGGATAGCTTACCAAACCGATCAGAATATTGGATCTATGTTTAAGAATAGGAACACTGGCGTTCAGCTCATCGAAATGCGGCTGTCCAAATTTCGGTCTGATCCGTTGTGAACACGGTTTTATACACTTATCCGAAATTTCGGATATGAAAGCTTACCGAACCGGGTTCAATGTGAATACATCTTAAGAGAAATAATTTCCATTAAACAAAAACATGATGTGATGCTTAAGGAACACACGTATATCATAATTAATGATGATGACGTTTATAAAAATGATGATTATAATAATTATGATAATGAGTATGACGATGATGATGACAATGACGATAATGATAACATTAATTTTTTTTTTTAAATCAGCAACAGCAAAGGAAATGATAACAAGATAAACATACTCCACATACCCAATCTTAATAATAAAAACCTGTATAAGCTTTAATTTACTAAATAGAGATACATTTTGATAACTATTGCACAACTGAATTTTACATGCGTATTACTTACTTTATTTCATAGCCTGCCTTTCCATTTCATAACATTCCGTTGAGCAGAGCCTATATTTGTTGATTAATGTAATAACTCTGTTGCAAGTAAATATTTAGGTAGGGCTATTATTTTCTTATTTTCAACCTAAAAATGTGCAATGGAGGTGCTGATCTCTAAAATATCATTTTTAACATATTAGATCAAGTATAGTGCATTTTCATTCCTTTAGTCTTGCACGTGACCAAAAGGCCGACAACCCATTACTGGTGATTTATTCGTTGCTCGGAAATGATGTATGTAATGGGTAAGTTAATATCTTAGTTTATTCAGAAGATTAAATTTAGATTAAAAATTATCAGGATGTGTTACTCATTAATTTGTTTAAATTGTATACATACTAATGCACTGGTGGTAGTGTGCCAAAATGGATAATACCTGTATGTATCTCTTTCAATATTGTTTTTTAATTATCGATCAATTTAATTTATCGAACTCTAAATTCATGTTGATTAGCCTATAATCGATATTCTATCCATCTATCAATTGATATGTTTATATATTAATATATTTCTACCAATACATTGAGGCTTTCTGCAGAATGCGCTATAGAAGTATGGAATTATTATTATTATATTTATTGATACATCTGATATATTTGTAAGTTTAATTTCCACCTTTGCACTCATTCCAGGTACCCGGACACTATTGATCACATGACCAAACCAGCAGAAATGAAAGCGAGTGCATTATCGTCGTTGAAATACTTGGTTAGTAAAACGATTGGTCATTAAATATTACATGATATGATTAAATGGATTTAGTTAATGTCAGAGGCTCGTTGTATTTTCCATGTCCCAAGAAATAATTGATGAGGGCCTATCTGTATTACCAATGACATGTTTCGTATAATGCTTTTCACCGGCTGTTAGGTCAAATCAAAATAAATACAGTATGTAATACATTTGGCCGTATGTGTTTGTAAGCCTACTGAATAAATACGTTAATAAAGATGGTATGGTCTTACTTTATATAGATCTGATCTAATCTAATCTAATTGCATCATGATTTGCATACATTAACAAACCATCACCACCACAGTGGCGTATCTAGGAGTCTTGAAATAGGGGAAGGGGGAAAACGTGAGGTTGGGGATTGATTATTGTATAAAGGGGACGCTAGTAGGAGCGTGCGGCGCAGCGTGTAAGTTATTGGATTTCTGGTCGTGAGATCGGGAGTTCGAGACCGACGCTCGCTGGACTGCTTGTGTCCTTGGGCAAGACACTTAATTACGTTTGACTCTTCCCACCCAGGAATTAAATGGGAGTGTCATGCTGTTAACCTGCTTGTTGGTGACCCTGCTACGACTGTTCCAGTCAAATTAATAACAGCAACTAGATATCAATTGATATACGAAAAAAAAAGAAGCTCACAGATAGGTGATATGAAGTGTTTTTTTTTTAATCTATGGGCGCGCGCGCTTTTTTTGCTTCAAATATTTTCAAAGAAGGGGGTGTGCAAATTTGTTGTTGCGTGCGCCCCTCCACTCCCCTCGCACACCTAGGTATGCCACTGCACCACCATCAACACTATCACCGCCACTACTAACCACCGTCACCTCACCATTTACCATATCACCACCATCATTACCACTACCATCATCATTGGAGGCAGCATCTCACCATCATTATCTGCTTGGGATCGCGTCGGTCGCAGTGTGAGCTCGGCTTAACTTCTGCCAAATTCTTCTTTTATATTTCTTTATTTAGGCCTTTTTTACGTCTAGCCTGTTTTGTTAAGGCCTAATTGATATTTAGAACTTTTAAAACTGTTTTAGTCATAACAAAATCATATAAAACTTCCGGTACACCAAGTGTAATATTTTTTGAGGTAAAACCACTGGTTGGTTGTCTCGTTTCGGTGAGATCGCTCTGATCGTCATCAGGAGAATGACGATCAGATTCTCCAGATGACGGTCTGAGCAATCTCACAGAAACGTCGTGGTTTTACCTAAAAAATGATTACACATGGTGTACCTGAAGTTTTATGATTTTACTCGCCAAGCAAACATTCAAGAAATATTCTGCTTTGATCGTTTGCAATAATATTACTTTCTGGGTATTTTTTTTAACGCAATATAACATTAACATCATAATCACCATCACCAAAATTCCCATTCTTTACTACCACTGCATTATTTAGAGCTTAAATGATAAAATATTACATTAATATGCCCATTTGCCACGGAAGCTTCAAGAGATGCTATAGTATCTTAAACAGTTAGGCCTACTGATTTCCCTAATAATTACCCTGTCCGCAGGACAAAGTACTCCCAAACGGCAGTTTGGTGCTAATGACGGGAATGCTGGACGGAAGAATACTGTACGACACGTTAGCAGACAGGTTCCATCCTTTAGGCCAGCTCAATCAGGACGTCCGTTACAGGGACATCTACGAGTATCTATCTTGTCTGCAGGTATCGCCATGCAACGGATGGCTCTCCAATAATGAAACGCTCAGAAATATTACGTCAGAGGTAAAAATATGTTTGGCTAATAAACTATTTTAAAGCTATTAAAAAACATTAATTGTTGAAGTAAAAGAGATTACATGCATTAAAATATATTTAACTGATGATCAGTATTATTTGAATATTTAACATCAACAAAAGTAACTGAAAAACCCCAAACAAGTAATTAATCTTAGCAATTCTTAACCCAACTGCTTAAGTACACAATCGTTTTTTATTGTTTTTTTTATTTTTACATTTACGAATAATACTATTACTACTAATGCTATTAATTATAATATTAGACCTATACAGTAATATAGCAAATAACAATAAGGAGGTTGGTAATTTGGCAATTGTTGCCTTATTCTACTCCTCATCATCTTCACGCCCCATCACTATTTTCGTTGATATGGATACACAGGCCCAAAAAATAGTTAAGGTATCAAATGGCATTGTTGGGTCATTTTGGGTGAACAAGATAGTTTTTTAAATAAAAAAATTTTTTTTTCGAGATTTCGGATTGGTAGCTGGGCTTGGGCAAGTGTTTTTGGCCTGATTACCATAAGAATATTGATAGGTCTACAGAATTTGCACGATATTAAAAATTAATCAAAAATTATATAATAGACATAGTAACAGTGCAACAATACAGGAAAAACATCATCATTCAGACTGAATAATTAAGAGATGAATTACAACTGTTATTGTTATTATTGTTTCAGTTATAATTATTCTTTATTATTATCATTACATTTTCATTCTTTCTCAGAGGGCAAGGCAACTTAGCAAGGCAGTTAATGAAGCATCGCAGAGTCAGATGTTTGCAAATTTTAGAGTAGAATATATAGATTTTGACATTCACGTCAGTAAGTACGTATACTATAACACAATACACCCAACAGAATACATGGTACAGTTGACTTACAAATGAACAAGATTTAATCATATTTCTTTTCTAAAGAGGTCTAAAATGCCTGACAGATTTATGAGTAGGTTTACAATATACAGGTTGTTCATAGAAAGGCTTTTAACTGCGCAGTGAAATGGTCATTGTTACAAGCGACCAGGCATTTCCGTAATAGTCGTCTTCACTGAGAAGCACGGAAACCTTAAAGGTCTGTTCATACTTGCAACGATAACTATAACGATAAAAAGCTAAAAAACAATTGTTCATATAGAAAATAAAAGAAATAAGAGAAGTTTTCACACTAGTACGATTCGATAACGATTTATCGTGCACGATACATGAATATTTCACAAATCAAATCAAATGACGGCATAGTCATGGAAAACAATAAAATCGTAGTAGTAAAGAGGATTTTATTTTATCGTTTATCGGGATGACTCCCATCACAAATTCCCACTTTTTCTCTTATGTACGGCATCGTCGAACGTGACGGACATGTACAATAGATGATAACACTAAGCACGTATGCTGTTTGATTCATCTAGTTAATTATATTTGATAGCCAATATTTTTATTAACAAAAGAGTAAATTCTTTCACGTTCATACTTGCAACGATAACTATAACGATAAAAAGCTAAAAAAACAATTGTTCATATAGAAAATAAAAGAAATAAGAGAAGTTTTCGCACTAGCACGATTCGATAACGATTTATCGTGCACGATACATGAATATTTCACAAATCAAATCAAATGACGGCATAGTCATGGAAAACAATAAAATCGTAGTAGTAAAAAGGATTTTATTTTATCGTTTATCGGAATGACTCCCATCACAAATTCCCACTTTTTCTCTTATGTACGGCATCGTCGAACGTGACGGACATGTACAATAGATGATAACACTAAGCACGTATGCTGTTCGATTCATCTAGTTAATTATATTTGATAGCCAATATTTTTATTATTGAAAGAGTAAATTAAGAAAAAAAAACTGTAATTTTCTATTGAACTTCCATATTACAATATTTTTTTTCTATTATCTTGTTCACGATAGTAATCAATGCCTGGAAGAAAAAAGGAGGCAAGACATGGGAGCTTATCGAACCAGTGGACGGGTTCCACCCGAACCAGGTACTAACGTAATAACATATTCATAAAAGGTGCAAATGCTCAACCATACGACTATGGTCTATCAAAATAAGGTTTGCCAAAACAAATATTGAAAGACATGTCATCTTGTTTTCCATCTATTTATTATATTCTTAATTATTTCTTTTTTAGTTCGCCCACGCACTCACAGCGGACTACATATGGAAAAAACTTGAAGAAAAGTTTCCACACGAATTTGGAAAAGTCAACCCAAACAATGAGAACATTCTCAAAATATTTGGTGATCAGAACGGCTACTAAACTCTCGTCAGGGTTGGCGCCAGAGGTGGGGGGGGGGAAGACGATAAATTTTGTCGGGGAATAAACAAATAAAAAAAATATTTACATATAATATTCTTTTAGCCACCATATCGTAATAATGATAATGATAATAATAATGATAATAATAATAATAATTTAATGAGACTAATTAAAAATATTTGCGTTCTGTTATGACAAATGCTCATTTAGATAGTCTCATGATGGTTGGAATACATCGTGATAGGTAAAGCAACCTCGACCATGACAGCGTGGTTGACAGATTTCATGCAAAATTTCCAAAATATAGAATTTCACTTTCAAGAATGAGGATTTGAAAATAAATTAAATGGTTACATTGCATACTCTTTGCTTCTTGTTTTATTTAAAATGTTTTGGTTTTGGAAGCTGATTTCAACATTAGAAAGCATAGCCTACATGAAGTCATATTAGGCCTATAGTAACTCGATGCCTATCAAATAAGTAATAAAAATTCGCCATAATTCATCAAACATCCCCTGGACCCCACCGGGGTCCTGGCGCCACCCCTGAATCTCGTCATTCAGTTGAGACTGAAAAAAACGCGTCTTCAAGATTCCAACGTCTTGTTAACACCAAAGCTAAATTTTCGATACCTTATACATTTATATAATGAACCAATAATTACGTCATCAGCCTTTTGCGCACAGTTATTTCTAGCACGCCTAAAACGCACTAAAAATTATAATTAAATTGTATTAAATAATATGCAAATTAACTGCCGTCATTTGAAACAAAATCTATTATACACCATATCTCTTAATTTAAGCATATCATTTATGGAAAATATAGTTTATAGACCCACGTTTTAAGGTGTTATATATCATGAATAACAATTTATTGATGACAAAGTTTAATATTAAAAATAATATTTTTAATTTTAAACATTTTTTCAATGAATTATACGTCCAGAATGTAAAATTAATGGCGGTATTATTATTTTTTTTATTTCTAGAATAAGCTGATGCTAAAGTGTAATATATTTTTTCAATTGTGATGTAAGTTTGTTTGGAGAAGCTTTGGTAAGAGCATTAACATTTTGTGTCATTGACGTTTTTTGTAAGATCAGACTAAAAATTGTACTCTTGATTATTGCTATCATAAATAAATTCAATGAAAAAAAGAGGATTTGTACTTAATAGGCCAGCAGTATTTGCAGAAAGAGCTACTTCCAACGTCCAATTCGATCGTGCTATAAAGTTGTTTGAAGAAACTTTTATGAGATTATTAAATTGTTTACCATTGAAGTCTTTCTAACAGAGATCAGACTAAAACTCTTACTTAATTTTTATCATACATAATTGTTATCATATATAACAAAATATTTGACACCCAGAGGATTCGTACATAATAGGTCACCAATATAAGATATAAATTTGTTTGAAGAATATTTGATAAAATCATCTATTGGATAGGGTTATCTTCATACGAATTCTAAGAATGGATACCTTGTTCGAAGCAAAACTCAAGTTGTCTTTACCCAGTACAGCTCATATATATTGTATTCGTGCGGGAAATTTTTAACCTATTTTATGTGCCAGGTGTTATTGCCAAATTATCAACCTATCATCAAGGTCAACCTATCCTCAAAAATTACAAACTTGTAATCTCTGCAGATTTGTATATTGATTATTAGCACTTGTTATAGGAATAACCAATCCTAGTTTGCCATTCACTTACCAATTCTCACACAACATGCAATGTAAACTCAATTACTGTATCTACTCTGATCATTCTGAATTTCATACACTTTTATGTACGATAGGACTAGGAAAAAGTAAAAAGAAAATAAAGATAATTGTTTGTGTTTCGAAACTAACAATATCTTCAAAATGGTGTTGCGAATACTTCTTTACCTAATGCAGGACACACCAAATCAAATGCAATATTAATTAACATTGTTACAACTACTTCATTACGGTAACATAGGCCTAATTTACATAATATGTTTTAAAATGAAATCCCATACAATCTACCTTTCTCAATCACAATATCGAAGATTCCTAAATGAAAGTGCATAATAGGTGTCTTGTTTAAATTTGAAGTAAATTATTTTCTATATGAATTCTATGTTTAAACACATACATACATACTACTATACATGAATATTGGAAAAATTAATGTGAGAGAAAAAGACATTCGTTAAGGCCTTAATTCTGAATATAGACTAAGAAATGCTAATGCAATTGATACTAAATCTCATTTTGTACTAGCTTGCAATTTGTGTACTATTTATTTAACGTATTTCGCATAAAAATTGACTTTATAACACCTCTTTAGACAATCAATATCTGGACGTTGTGAAAACATTGAGAATGTGTAACGCTACCATCGTGTTTGGCGGGCGGATGCATTTTCTATTAAAAAAAAAACAGAAGGAACGATAGACTAATAATGTATAGCATATTAGAAAGATTAGGCATTACTCTATATCCACCAAAACGCGACTGAATCAAGTGAATCATATTTGCTTGGCCAATACCAGTATTTTTCTTTTTACATATTTTAATCAACATGTTTAAAGAGTGTGACCATAACATTAATGCCGACTTAAAGAGGCCCTCCATAGAAAAAAAAATCAATATCAATTTTAAAAATACAAAAGTTACTACTATGCAGCTTGAAGAGGAAAGTTAAATTTTTTTTTAAATCAGTTTACAATAAAAAAAATACAATATTAAATATTCTCGAATAGGCACTTAAAGTGGAATAGTTCAAGTCAATCAATGACTATTATTTAATAGTAATTATATGCCTTATCAAAAATAGCTTGGTTGTTTACTAATCTGTTTTGTCCAGATAAACACCAAATCAATTCAATGTCAACAAGCAACGAAACAACCGCTTTTTGCGGTGCAGTTAACACAAAAGCATGGATGGGAGACTCCCGTTCGGTGACCCGCCAATTATTTATCTCACTTTTTTTCACATGATCTCCCGGTTATAAAGAAATTGCATAGGCCCTTTATACTATTATATTAATTATATTGCCTTTTTTTCCCAATAAACTACGACGAAGAAAACCTCAATATTTAGGTTATTTTTCAATATTTTGCTCAGCGATGACAGTCTCTTTCGTGAGCGGTGCCATATGATGTGAGCGCGGAAAAGCCACGCTTGCGTGCAGGGGCGGATCCAGGATTTGAATGAAGGGGTTGCAAATTTTTCCCAAAAGTACCAAAAAGAAAGCGGGGTTCGGGAAAATTTTGATTCCTATATGGCCGGAAATGAGTTTTAAATATAATATTTGAGATTCTTCAAAATTGAAGGTTTCCCCTCTTCATGTGATTTTATCTCCTACACAGTAAGTAGGCGTATACATAAAAATGAAAATATACAATAAATTACTTTATTTCAAAGATCCCAATAAAGAGACTTTGCTAAGTCTAGTGGCTTAGAATTTAGTTCCTAGTTATAATAAATAATGGTCGAACCAAAACAATTTTTTTAATTTTATTTAATTGAAGGCTAATTAAACTAAGGTTTACTTGTCCGATCTGCCTACCTAGCGTCCTAGGTAGTTTTAGAATGCCTTTGTAGGCCAGGACCCATGCAATTCCGTACAGTGGTGGATAATGCAGGAATTCGAAATAGAAGGGGCCCACAAAAGGAGGATCTACCACCATAGTTGGGGGTAAGGGTAAGAAAATTTATGATTGTGGCATCTCTAGATTAAACCCCCTGGAGCCGCCACTGCGTTGGCCTTGTATACACCGGATCATGATTACAATGTGTCTGGTCAGTAAAGACTCAGATAAGCGTATAAAAATCATGAGGTTTACCCTTGCGATACATTATCTGAAGCATCCAGGGGACCCTGAAGAGCCTACTTAGCCTTCAAGATCGCCTGCATTACTCCTCATTGTTTTTACCCTATTGTTAATATTACCATTATTATTGCTAATTAATGAAGCGTTTGTTTTGATTTACTTATTAATTTGATTTCATAGGATATTGAGCACGATAGGCATGAAGTTGCCGCTTTTCAGTCTCTTTTTCAGTCAATCCATATGCTTTAATAGATAAACTTCAGTAATTAACTCTTGTAAATAATTGTATCTTTTTGTATTTTCTGTTTTATTTATGTCCTTGATTAATTTATTATTATATGTCTAACGTTTATACTATTTTTTTTTTTTTTTTTTTGCATCGGGAAGACGAATTTTACTTGTATTTTATGTACCAGTGACAATAATAG